CGGGAGGCTGAGGCAGGAGAATGGCCTGAACCTAGGAGGCGGAGGTTGCGGGGAGCCGAGATCGTGCCATTGCACTCCAGCCTGGGTAACAACAGTGAAACTCCATCTCAAAAAAAAAAAAAGAAAGGGCTGACAAGACAGACCCTGCCAACAGAATTAAGGATAAGTCCTAAGTAGGTATCCACTGCTGGATGTATCTTGCTTTCCTTGGAGATTTCAACTATTATGCTCTGTAAAAATCAGATCAGTTTCAAAACTGCTACAGACCTAAAACCCTGACCCTTAATCTGCCTAGTTTCTATTTAGAATCTTTGGCATTGCTTCTCTTTTTGACATAGGTAAATAATTGTGCCTCCTTTCCCCATCACCCTGCCAGGACTAGGCTGGTCTTCTGTTGTCTGTCCTATATTTCATCCCCAAAATAGAAAAACAGCCTAATGAGCAAGGATGGGATGGAACATCCCTCTTCTAGAAATCCTTTGGAGGTAAATGTCCCACTCTAACCTATCCCTAAAATTCTAATGGTGATTAATTACCATCCAAAGGGAAGGTATTGTTTGGAAAACTCAATTTATTTCTGGATGCTAGAATATAGTAAGCTCAGTCTTCAGTGACATGCTGCCCTCTAATCTCTGCAGCTTTGGGACAGATTGGACAAGTAAGTCCCGAACTGACAGATCTTCTGCTCTGGGCTATCCATTATGAAGAGTCACCAGGTGTACGATTGGAAGCTTGCTGTAGCATCCTAGCTCTCAAACTTCAAGGGGACCTGGTCAGGGACACCTTCCTAGATGTGCTGCTCCTGGAGAACCACGATGCTGTTCTAAAGTAAGCACTAAACCTCAGGGTCCCACCATGACCTTATACTGCCAACTCTTACATCTTTGGTCATTGAATACATCCCTGCCTTTCTTTCCAGGCTGCCTAATAGCAGTAAAAGCACAGGCTCACCTGCACTTTCACCACTCACCCAAGTAGGTAACAGAAAAACTGGCCTAAATTAGATTGAAAGTCAAGCTTATGTAGTTCAGGTACCTTTTCTCCCCACCAAGATGGTTTTAAGTTACTTTTCAACTAACATTTATGAAGTGCCTAATGGGACAACAAGTTTTAGAGTCAAAAAGACCAGGGTTTGAATTCCAGCTCTGGCATGCAATAGCTATATGAGCCTATATAAGGTATTTAAACTCTGTGAGCCCGTTTTTTTCATGTATCAAATGCAGGTGATAGTTTACATTACAGGGTTGTGGTGATACTGAGATGACATGTTTAGTGCCTGTCACAAAGGTGTTCAGTAAATGCTACCTATTGGTACCTTCAAATATATTGTCTGGGCTGGATGTGGTGGCTCACACCTATAATCCCAGCCCTTTGGGAGGCTGAAACGGGTGGATCACCTGAGATCAGGAGTTCGACATCAGCCTGGCCAACACGGGGAACCCCGTCTCTACTAAATATACAAAAATTAGACGGCCATGGTTGCACACATTTGTAGTCCCAGCTACTCGGGAGGCTAAGGCAGGAGAATGGCTTGAATTCAACAGGCAGAGGTTGCAGTGAGCGGAGATCAAGCCACTGCACTCCAGCCTGGACAACTCTGTCTCAAAAAAAAAAATTAAAAATAACAAATATGCCTGGGCGAGGCGGCTTGTGCCTATAATCCCAGCACTTTGGGAGGCCAAGGTGGACAGATCACAGAGTTTGAGACCAGCCTGGCCAACAGGGTGAAACCTCGTCTCTACTAAAAATACAAAAATTAGCCGGGCATGGTGGCGTATGCCCGTAATCCCAGCTACTCGGGAGGCTGAGGCAGAACTGCTTGAGCTCACGAGGTGGAGGTTGCAATGAGCCAAGATTGCACCACTGTACTCCAGCCTGGGCAACCAGAATGAAACTCTGTTAAAAAAAATAATAACGCTAAGCATCACACCATTTTTGCATATAAGGCTCAGCAAAACTGCAGTTAGGATTGGAACTTGGGATTCTTACCTGATTCCAAGTCCCGTATTTTCTACCTACCCCCCATGTCTTTTTAAAGGACAGAGTAGAATTATCTAAGAAGCCCTTCTATTCTTTCAGAGAAATGTACCAGAAAATGAAGAGACTCAACTTAGGAAATGAAGGAAACCAAGAAATGCTTCAGGAGATCAAGAACAGGGTAAGTAAGTGCAAGCTCTGTTTTCAAGAGAAAATTCAGGGCTCTTAAGAATTCCTCAGACCCTATCCCCCTCAAATATATACATACCCTTTTTCCCGCCACAGAAATACTTTCTGAACACAAGACACAGATGTCATATTGTTTGAAGATGCAAAGCATCTATGCAAGATTGGGTTATAATAAGGTCCTACTAGTCAAGACAAAAACAAAACAAAAATCCTATTAGTCCTATCAAGTAGCCCTCAAAAATCAGGGTCTATTTTTATTGTTTCAGAAAGACTATTTCTCTCCCTTCCTGTTTTCTCCCCATCATCCCCAAACCCAAGTTGTTTATTTTTCCTTTCTTGCAGATAGGCATAGGGAGGAAATAAGAGACTGGAGCTGGCCCCCTAGATTTTTTTCTTAATTTTTCTGAATTCCTAATCTGGGTTCTCTCACCAAAGAAAATCTCTAGCTGAAAGGATTGTTCTGGCCAGACATGGTGGCTCATGCCTGTAATCCAAGCACTTTGGAGGCCAAGGTGGGCGGATCACCTGAGGTCGAGAGTTCAAGACCAGCCTGACCAACATGGTAAAACCCCGTCTTTAAAAATAAAAATAAAAATAATTAGGAAAAAAAAAAAGAATTGTTCTAACTTTTCCTTTTTTTTTTTTTTTTAATTGGTGGTGGGAGAGCAGTCTTGCTCTGTTGCCCAGGCTGGAGAGCAGTGGTGTGACCTTGGCTCACTGCAACCTCCACCTCCTGGGTTCAAGAGATTCTTGTGCCTCAGGCACCCAAGCAGCTGGATTATAGGCATGTGCTACAACACCCACCTACTTTTTTTTTGTATTTTTAGTAGAGACAGGGTTTCACTATGTTGGCCAGGCTGGTCTTGAACTCCTGGCCTCAAGTGATCTATCTGCTTCAGCTTCCCAAAGCACTGGGATTACAAGCATGAGCCATCCCGCCTGGCATGGATTGTTCTAATTTTTCTTTTTTTTTTTTTGCAGAGGCAGCTGTTGCATTGTTTTAATTTTTCAAAGCTGTTAGATGAGATGAAGGAATAGAGGAGAAAGGACTTTAAAAAGGTAATTCGAGAAACCAACTTTACACCAAGCAACCATTTCTTAATGGGTTCCTTTTATCATGCCCAAAAAGCTGAAGGAAAATTTTCATGAACAGATATAAAACTCCAAGCAATATCATAAGAGAACAACGTTCTCAGGCATTTATATACCACCTATTACTGATAAGCATAATGCAATTAGTTACTTCTTTTTTTTCCTAGAGACAGGGTCTCTCTTTGTTGCCCAGGCTGGAGTGCAGTGGCATGATCATAGCTCACTGTAGCCTTGAGGGCTCAGGTGATCCTCCCTCCTTAGCCTCCCACAATTACTTTATTAATGCTCTCTGATAACTTGCTGCCTAGTACAGGTGTTTTGTTTTGTTATTCAAACATTATTTGTTCTAATTTAGATTAAAACACTAAGCCAAAAGGACTTGCTGATGCAGAAAATACTCAAGCTGGAGATGGTCATGGGAAAAGTAAGGGAGGAAGCAAAACGTGTTTACTTGAAACCCAAAGGAGAACAAGAACCACTAACACTTCAAACTTTACTCCAAAAAACTTTTCAGAGTAGGTTTCCTAGGGGTGAGTTCTATGCTTTGATTCCTTTAATAAGCCTCTTCCAGGATCTGGAGGTTTTGGGACTCAGTAGCAAGCCCTGGAGGAGGAAACAGGAAAGGATACTCCCTTCTCTCTTGGTTACCATCCACTCAGTCTTTTTAATTTTTTTTGTTTCTCAGGTTTTTATCCATTTATTTTTTTCCCCTTTTACAAAAAAAGTTATCTCTATTTGAACTGATTTAAAAGTTAGGTCAAAAAAGGACATATCACAAAAACACAAGTCTTTATAAAAAAAAATGAATTTCTGGTGGTCCTGGTTAAAAAAAAAAAAGAAAAAAGAAAAAAAAAACTAGTGTGTACGTTTGATTAAGCACCCAAAAAAGCCTTATGAGCTTAACCCTAATAGTGGTAGTAGTTGCTGGTCAGGCACAGTGGCTCATGCCTGAAATCCCAGCGCTTTTGGAGGCTAGGGTGGGAGCATCACCCCAGGTCAGGAGTTCAAAACCAGTCTGGGCAACATAGCAAGACCCCTCCATCTCTACCAAAAAAAAAATCAAAAATTTGGTGACACGCACCTGTAATCCTATCTACTAAAGAGGCCAAGATGGGAGGACTGCTTGAGCCCAGGAGGTTAAGGCTGCAGTGACCCAAGATCTCACCACTGCACACCAGCCTGGGCAGCATAATGAGACCCTGTCTCAAACAAACAAACAAAAACTAGTCCATGTCTCTGGAAAGTGGGCTTGGAAGGAGAGCTATCATTTTTACTTAATGTATATCTATGCTTTTGTAACTTTTTAAAAAAGACTTTACAGCCGGGTGCGGTGGCTCACAGCAGTAATCCCAGCACTTTGGGAGGCTGAGGTGGGTGGATCACAAGGACAGGAGCTCAAGACCAGCCTGGCCAAGATGGTGAAAGCCCATCTCTAAGAAAAATACAAAATATTAGCTGGGCATGGTGGCATGCACCTGTAATCCCAGCTACTGGGAGGCCGAGGCAGAGAACTGCTTAAACCTGGGAGGCAGAGGTTGCAGTGAGACAAGATTGTGCCACTGCACTCCAGCCTGAGCGACAGAATGAGACTCCATCTCAAAAAAAAAAAAAAAAAAAGACTTTATAAAGTTCTCAACCTTAAATAACAGAAAACGATCCATTATGGTGATAGGATCTTTGAGTCCTGGACACAACCTAAGCGACGAGGGTGCAGAAATCAAGCTGTACCAAAATATACTTACAAAATCTGTGTGCCCAAGAGTAGCAGCAGCCTCAGGTCACTCAACCAGCTGCCTATCAGCTACCACCCCAAACCCAGGTCTTCTGGTTCCAAGTCCAGTGCTCTTTCTGGTACACCAGGCACTTTTCCACCAACCATGAGAATATTCACTTGTCAGATTTGGGGAAGTTTCTTCCAACTTCCAGAAAAAAAAAAAATGAGAGTGGAAAGTAACTTGAACACCAGCCTTCCTTCATGGCCAGCTGCTAAAAGCTGGTTACCTAAGGCCTATGAAGGCACAACTAGGTGACACGCTGCCCTTATGACAGCAGTGCCAGCCACAGATGCAATTGAACAGCAAGCAAAAACATACCATGCTCTTGGCTGGGCGCAGTGGCTCACGCCTGTAATCCCAGCACTTTGGGAGGCGAGGTGGGTGGATCACCTGAGGTCAGGAGTTTAAGACCAGTTTGGCCATCACGGTGAAACCCCATCTTTAAAAAAAAGAAAGAAAGCAAAACACACCATGCTCTTAAAACTGAACTAGCTAGTAGAAAATAATTTTTCTACTAGAACTGGGTTACATAATTAAATAGTACTAATTATCCAGAAAGTTAGTGAACTGTTCCCAATCAGATGTTTTTTTGTTGTTTTTTGAGATGGAGTCTCACTCTGTCACCCAGGCTGGAGTCCAGTGACACAATCTCAGCTCACTGCTATCTCCACCTCCCAGGTTCAAGAAATCCTCCTGCCTCGGCCCCTCTATGGGACTACAGGTGCACACCACCATGCCTGGCTAATTTTTATATAGTAGATATGGGGTTTCACCATCTTGGCCAGGCTGGTCTTGAACGCCTGACCTCAGGCGATCCACCTGCCTCAGCCTCCCAAAGTGTTGACATCACAGGCGTGAGCCACTGCGCCCAGCCTGAGATTGTCTTAAGAGGCTGATTTACATGTTCCTTTTACATCCTACAATCACCCCAAGTTGCTTTTCACTTCAGCCATTATAGATTTTCCCTATCTTCCTCCTACTCCTGCATTTCTTTTAACCATCCCACATAATAATCTAGCCTTAGAAAAGGGAAACATTCCTTGGCACTTTAATAACTTTTCTAAGGTTCATACAAATTTAACAGTAACAAACAGGATACTGACCCCGACCCTCCCCCCAAACTGATGAAAAAGAACTCAGATGAAAGATGTAAATTCCAAAAAAAAGTCTTCTAATGTCTGTCTCAAGCAGAATGACATGGTCAGTGCTACACAGTACACTGAAGCCTGAGGGTGAAGTTGGTGCTCTGAAATGATTATGGATCAAGCTTATTGTTCCACCTCCAACTTCTGCTTTTCCTTTTGTACCTAGATGAGATAGTTCTTCCTAGAAGATCTTCTGAAGTTTGTGACATTGAAGCAGTCATAAAGGTAAATGTGAGCACACTGATGGTGATCAAGGTAAGAACATGAATCAAAAAAAAGGGTAGCAGTGGCAGGAAAGAATCGCTACTGTCTTGTTTCCAGCAATCAACAAGAAACTAATTTAGGGCTAGAGGCATCTTGGTGAGCAGCAGCCCCTTATCATACAACGTGGTTGCCAAGGAAAGTTGATCCTCCACACTGTCACAGGGCAGGTCCCCCACTCTCAAAAATTCTGGGTAAGAGTGAAGCAAGAGTTCCATGGCATCAGCTTGCTGGGGGTATATTTCCAAGCACTTGGGTTCTTCCAAATGATACACACGGGAGTTTTCCACTGTGTAATAGAGAAACAAATGGCCCCCCTCACCCACCAGCCGAGCTATCCCATCCTGAAGCATGTGAACTTCTGTTTCTCTTGTCAACTGGGTCCCCACGTTTACAGGTTCTCCAATTTCCCAGCAAATTGGAAGCCCATAAACGCTAAGTGCCCTCTCCCTATCAGTCAAAACAGGGGGCAGAGAATCGTGAAGTCTTTGGTTCGCTGGTCGGCCACAGCATCGACAGGAGCAAAGTGGCCCAGCGGGGCACCAAGACCCGCACCGTCTCCATGAAAGCAGTTCTTCGTGGATCCTTAGAATCTGAATGCTGGGTTCCCATGTAATCCATGAAGTCTCAGGGCAGACCCCTCCGAAACTCCACATTTTCTTCCATTGCAGCCTCTAAGAAGTCACCCCAGGTATTGCGCTGGTATGTGGACAAGGTGCAGAGAATGGACTCCGTTCTGGCATTCAGCTTGGTGAATGAAGCCCTGAGGAAAATACAGCAAATCTCCAGGTTCCAACACGGTCTGCAGCACTGGCTCACCAAGGTCGTCCTGACTGAAGTTGGGGCTGGATGGCAGAGCCAGTTCCTCGGTTGGAAGTTGGGGTCGGTATACACGCCAGAGTTTCCTACCTTCCAGCTGCAGCACGAATGCCTCGATGTCGTTATAGTGGGGGGCAAAGCCCTGAGAGTTAGGGGGCGCGAGCTAAACGTTGGAGCCTGCCATGCTTCCAAACTGCTCTTGAAGCACAGCCAAAAACTGCCACACAGTGGTAGAGAAAGCCTGCGGACAGAGGAGGCACAGAGAGCAGCCGGCCTGGTACAGGGACCACGCGGCAGCAGGCAGCGCACCGCCCGGTGGGTTCAGGGTCTCGAGTCGCCCGTTGAGGTAGCGAGCAGCGTCCAAGTGCTGCCCGAACTGCACCTCCTCGTTGCGCAGCATCGCGTCCAGGTCGGCGGTGGAGAAAAGGCCCTGGTAGTAGGTGTGGTCCTGCCGCCGCACCAGCACCGCCTCCCGCTCCCTCAGGCGCAGGTAGAAGTGATATGGCGGCATAGGCGCGATGAGTCACTCAAAGAGGCGCGCCGCTCGCCGCCGGCTGCTGAGGATGCGGTTCAGCTCGGCCAAGATGCGCTGCAGCCGGGAGTCCCAGGCCGGCTCCCCACCCGTGTTATCCACCTGAGGCCCCAACGCCGTCGAAGGGGCCCCGGACGACGGGGCTGCCGCCAAGTGCTGCGCGGTGCACAAGCAGCGCGGAGGTCTCCACAACGCGAGCCGGCGCGGAAGCCGGCACCAGGCGCGCCGGCGGGGTCTGCAGGAAGCGCGTGGAGGGCGAGGCCTCCAGCAGCTCTGCGGACCCCAGGTGGCCATACGGCTCTCTCCGGGCTGGATCCGGGAGGGCCGACACCGCCGCCCCACCGGGTAGCGCGTCCCCCAGGTCGTCGGCTGTCGACTCCACCCTCGAGTCCTCAGACTCCTCGCTAGGTAGCGTCTGAACTCTCTGTGCTGCTATGTGGGATGCAACCCTTCTCCTGAGCTGCCTTCGTATCTTCCTGGGCCTCAAGGGCAAGGCCAGGACCGAGCTGCTGTGTGCTTGGGGCTGGCGCCCGCGCCTCTACCACCCGCACCTTAACAGCCCTGCACTAGCCTGGGGACCATCCACGGCCGGACAGTCTTCCACTCCCGGCCTGAGCCGACGCGAAAAGGGTTCCTGAACGCAGCAGCTGCGGTGCACTCTGGGAAGGGGGCGCGGCCTCCAGCCGTGTCGGGATTGGACACGCCCACCATTCTACCCGGCCCCTCCACTTGCCTTCATTAAATGCTTGGCTTCACGCTATAGCGGCAAGAACCCTTGCCAAACAAACCGGGAATCTACACTCAGAGGGCAATTTAAAAATCAAGTTGCGGCCCAGCGCGGTGGTTCCCGCCTGTAATCCAAGCACTTTGGGAGGCTGAGGTGTGTGGAACACCTGACGTCAGGAGTTCGAGACCAGGCTGCCCAATATGCTGAAACCCCGTCTCTACTAAAAATACAAAAATTAGTCAGGTGTGGTGACTTGCACCTGTAGTTCCAGCTACTCAGGAGGCTGAGACAGCAGAATTGCTTGAACACGGGAGGTGGAGGTTGCAGTGAGCTGAGATGGCACCACTGCACTCCAGCCTGGGTGACAGAGCAAGACTCCGTCTCAAAAAACAACAAACAAGATGATATTACTAGAGATTCCCCAGGAGAAATGGTTACTTGACTGTTCTTTCCTTCTAGTCTCTGGATATTGCAGTGTTCCTTGGACGTCCTCATTTCTGAACAAGGATGTTCCCTGGCAGCTTCCCACCTAAAAGTGCAGAATTCTTGTTTCCACGGAATGCCCTCAGGCAGTTTGGGTTCTGCTCTGCAGATGAATTCACCGATTGAAGCCCTATCTAGGACTTCAATCCTAACTTCTCTTCCTTCTTTCTCCAGTGCAAGTTCTCAAATTCATTGTCCTCTCTGAAAAAGAAGTTATGAAGTTCTCTACTTGCATTCTTGATATCTGCCCTACCTGCCCCTCTGCAGTTTTGTTTCATTAGCTATAACTTCTCTGGCTCTTAAATCGACTTCTTAAATCTGGGCCTCTAATTTAACAGGCAGTGTGGTGGCATGAGGGTGTAATTGTTGAGAACATGGTCACTGTCATGCAACTAATTGCTTTGTACAAAAGATTCCTTCTCTTCATTTGAATCATTTAAGATAAACTCCCAGAAATAAAATTGTTGGGTCAAAAAGTAAAATACTTTTTGTGATTTTTTTTTTTTTTTTTTTTTTTTTTGTCTGTTTTGAGATGGAGTTTAGCTCTTGTTGCCCAGGCTGGAGTGCAATGGCACGATCTTAGCTCACCGCAACCTCCGCTTTTCAGGGTTCAAGTGATTCTCCTCCCTCAGCCTCCCAAGTAGCTGGGATTACAGGCATATGCCACCAAGCCTGGCTAATTTTGTATTTTTGGTAGAAACAGGGTTTTTCCATCTGGTCAGGCTGGTCTCGAACTCTGAACCTCAGGTGATCCACCCACCTTAGCCTCCCAAAGTGCTGGGATTACAGGTGTGAGCCACTGCGCCTGGCTTTTTTTTTTTTTTCCTTTTTTTGAGACAGTCTCGCACTGTCTCCCAGGCTGCAGTACAGTCGCCCTGCTCTTGGCTCACTGCAACCTCCACCTCCCGGGTTCACCAGATTCCCCTGCTTTAGCCTCCTGAGTAGCTGGGATTATAGGCGCCTGCCACCACACTCGGCTAATGTTTTGTATTTTTAGTTAAGACAGGGTTTCGCTGTGTCAGCCAGACTGGTCTCAAGCTCCTGACCTCGTGATCCGCCTGCCTCAGCCTCCCAAAGTGCTGGGATTACAGGCGTGAGCCACCGCACCAGGCCTTTTTTTTTTTTTTTTTTTTTTTGAGATAGAGTCTCCTTCTGTCACCCAGCCTGGAATGCAATGGTGTGATCTTGGCTCACTGCAACCTCCATCCATCGAAAAACTTTTAAATACAAAAATC